GGGGGTCTTCCGCAATTAACCCTTGTTATTTTATTACATAGAATCTCTATATGTAGAACTTCCTGTTAACTATTTCAAGGCACAAAATTTTGAACAAAGAGCAATACCTGATACCAAATGCATATGCCAATCACAGGAATAAAAATGCCAAAAATTTGCCATGCAACTTGTGACATGACTGTGATAATACCCAGAAGCTGAATGACCGCAAAAGCAAATGAGCCAATCTGGGAAAAGAAACTTGTGTCTACTTCACTTTGATCAGTCGAAGCCTGCATTTAAATGAAATGATATAAATGAGTTTCCTGTGACACAAAGATGCAATTCATTTCAGAAGCAATGAGGCTTCACTTACTCTATTAAGGATGCGACCACTAGGAGTGGAATCAAAGAATGACATGGGAGCACGGAAAATAGATGTATGCATCTTGTTAAATAGAACCTTTGCTGTTTCATATCCCGCTGTTACAAGAAGCAAAGCTCTCGAAAGGACACACAGGGAGCTTGCGAGAGATAACGCCACAAATACGTAGATGAGTGTAGCTCCACTTACGGGAGGTTTCGTGTCTTTCGATACTGGAGCTGCCCAAGCCATCCAATAATTGCTACCAATCTGAAGTAGTTCAAAGAGGATTTGTGATAGCAGTATTAGAGGCACAAGAACACCTTTGTATGCAGTTGTACAATATCTCCAATAGACCCAAAACCCAACTTTGCCTTTCTCCCTCTCTTCTTCTTGAACCAATTGACCCTTTTCTGTGACTTCATCATCAATTTTGTCACTTTGTTCAGATTTTTTATCCTTTACAGAAAGAGCCTGTTGTTGTTGACTTGTCTCTGCAATGCTACTTGAATTGCTGTTAGCAAGATCCATAGAACCAAGCACTTCCAATGCATCTTTGTGTGCACCAACTAGTTCCATGAAGTCAGTTCCAGAAGTAAGTATGTCGTTGTATTTGCCCACTTGTATAATTTTTCCATCTTTCATGACCTTAAAGCAGTAGAATTGTTTTTTAACATCTAATTTATAATCAAATAATATGGTTACGTGATTTCATTCAGGGGAAATATAATTCAGGAGAAGGGAAAAAATCACTCACAAGGATAATGTCAGCCGAAGGAAGAAACTCCACCTGATGGGTGACATAAATAACAGTTTTCGAAGCTAGAAGCCCAAGCAAACATTCCTGCCATAAAAAATCTCATAAGTTTTAATAATGAGACCATTTGATTGAGATGCCTTAAATATTGAATATGAGCTCACTGGGGGTCTTTGCTATGAGTACCTTAAAGAGATGAGATCCTGTATGAGCATCAACTGCACTAAATGGATCATCGAAAAGAAAAATATCAGCATCTTGGTACAAAGCTCGTGCAATCTGAATTCGCTGCTTCTGTCCTCCACTCAAATTGATGCCTCTTTCCCCTATCACGGTTTGATCCCCAAATGGAAGAATCTCCAAATCCTTCTTCAATGAGCATGCTTCAAGTATGTTCTCATACTTTTCAATGTCCATTTCCTTACCAAATAGTATAGTGTCTTGAATCTTTCCACTTTGTATCCAAGGTGATTGGGCAACATAAGCTGTAGTCCCACACAACTTGATGGTTCCAGATAATTTTGGGACTTCACCTAATATGCACGATAACAAGCTTGATTTGCCGGAACCAACAGTACCACAAACGGCAACTCTTGTACCATGCAATGCTTTGAAATTCAAATCTCTCAATGTAGGAATTTCTGAAGATGGGTCCCAAGAGAAATTCCCATTGCTTACTTCGACCGCTGCCTCTGAGTTACCCCGTGGAAGCTTTTGCACCACATCAGTAGGCAAATCCTCTAGCCAAAGGAATGAAGATATTCTATCAAGGGAAACCTTTGTTTGAATCACCATTGAAATAGTATCGGGAAGATTATATATTGGCTCCTGCAACACCCTAAAAGTTGCAAGTGCGGAAAGAACCTTGCCCGATTCTAGCGGAATTCCCATAATCATACAAGCTCCGAATGTGACCACAGCAACGAAAGTAGGAGCACCCCAAAATGTAAATGTTATCATAGCCAATGTGTATACATACTTTCTCAACCAAGAAGCCTCTTCCTTTCTTAACTCGAATATCTTGGACAAGAACTTCATTTCCCAAGCTTGAAGCTTGAGAATCCTCATGTTTTTTAGGATCTCCGAAGTAGTCTTCATCCTTATATCTTTTGCCTCCATCAATTTCTTTTGGTACCTCTCTTGTATACTCCCCAAGGGAAAATTGGCTAACATAACCGCTATTGTTGCCGCTAAAGCAGCCAATGAAGCAAGGCCCAAACTAGAGTACAATATGGCTAGAGCTAGGCCAACTTGAATAGGGACCATCCAAAGATCATGCATGTACCAACTAAAGAGCCCAATTCTATCGGCGTCAACACTCATTAAATTGATGATCTCTCCGCTGGTATGACCTTGCTTCGAATGGCTAGACAAAGTTAGACCCTTTTGATAAATCATCGCAACAAGGGATGACCTTACTCTGATCCCAGCTTGTTGTAATCTAAAGAACCAGTGTCTCTGTGACAAGCACTCAAACAGCTTTGCTACTATGAAGGCTACCACTAAAATATACCCTTCACTCGCAAACATTCTAGTGCCATTAAGGTACTGAACAAAGAAAGCGATGAGGTAGGGACCGACATATGTAGCTATTGTGTACACAAGTGCATAGATAGCTGTTGACATTACTTGGTCCCATGTCGAAAACACTAATGCCTTAGCCAATTTATACGTGGAAATCCTACAAGCAGAACTCTCATCATTGCCACTCCTACAATCACTGCCCGTGTATGATTCAAGCTTATTTTTAAACACAGGGTAGACACCATTGACACTATCACTCTGAGCTAGTTGAGGAACATCTTCAAGGTCTAATGTCTTTTGGTGACCAACAGAGAGCAAAGGACCCATCCAAGAGAAAGTGAGCAGACTAAAAAATCCAGCATTCTCAAAGATAGACTCACTTCCATTGTCATTCCTATTACAGGACTCATCAAAATTACCCCCATTCAATAGACGGTCATGAAGATTAGCCTTCTCTTCTTCGCTCCTTTTCCCGAAAATCCCCGCACAATTAATAATCACACCACCAACAAGAGACCCAAAATCAATTACCCACAAATTGGTAGTCATAATCCCAAGCTTCCTGTACCAAATCCAATCTACTACAAGGAAAGAGAAAGATATAGCCAAGAATAAACCCCACCAAATGCTAAGAAAGGTGGGATATTTATCAACAAATCGCAAATAGCATGAGATGGCTACCCAAACAAAGACTCTAACGACCAAATCCAAAAAGGTAACAATGTTCTCATCAGACCAAAACCCATGAACATGCCAAATATAGAAATGAAGAGAGAGAACCAAATAGAACAAACCCAAACCCAGGGAGCTGAAAAGGGTTGTTTTGTAATAGAAGAATCTGTTTATTTCCAATCTTTCCTTTGTGGGTCTCTTGCAGAGATAGAAGAGAGAGAGTAGGAAAAAGATAAAGAGGTGGAATGAAACAGAGAAGCCATGAAGAATGATGGGTTTCAATGGGAACCCATTATCATTTGCATGAATTTGAATTGAAAAAGGATGGGGGATTTGCATACCAGAGGACATTGATGATGAGCCTCGGAGAAAACCCATCAATGAGGCCTCTGCAAATTGCGAAAGTTTATTATATTTCTCCTCTTTCTTTATTGGAGAGAAGAGAGGAGCGATTTGTATATATATGAAGAGGGATTTGTATATATATGGAGAGGGATTTGTTTGCACGTAGAGAGACAGACTGAGGTTGTTATCGTGGAATTTTGTATTATATTTCTTGATTGGAGAGAAGAGAGGAGAGATTTGTGTATATATATAGAGAGAGAGCGACTGAGAGTGTGAGTGTGTGGTGAGGAATTTATAGAAGGGAGTCAAAGGCGGCTCCTTGGAGACAAGGAAGAGTGACTCTTGGAACAGAGGATCATCAAAATAAAAAAATAGTTTTTTCATAAGTGTGGAAGACTTTTCTCATGGGTCCAAATTTGGGGTGTGCACGCGGGCCCGGTCCGAACCCGGCCCGGACTCAGGACAGGCTCGGAAAAACCAGGCCAGCTCCGGGCCCTCTTGGTGAAATCGGCCCCGGCCCGGTTATATATATATATATATATATATATATATATCTATATAATAATATAATATTATATTATATATATATATGAAAAATGGAGAAACTTACGTACCAAGTTTCTCCAAGAATTCAATCGGTAGGACATGTGCGCAAAATTTTCTCCTACCATCTACATTTGAGTTGGTGTAAGGCTGTGCGTTGAGCTCTATCTTCGAGTGTGATGTGAGGGGCAAGATTTATGCCCACTATCACTACCAAGTTGCTTCGATGAACTTCTACCAAGTTTCTCCATTTTCTCTCTCTCTCTACTATTAATATATAATATTCCATTCTCATACGACTTATGCGAATGCATTCCGTCCCGACTTTGGGTTTTTTGGAAAAAAAATCAGCGATTCTATCTTCTCGTCCTTCAAAAACCCCCGTGACCCCAAGAACCCATCCAAGATCCCCAAATTCCTATCTCCCTCTCCCCTCCATGACCCTCCCTCCTCCCTCTATCGATCAGCCCTCTCCGCGCCCTCCCTCCTCCGCGACCTCCCTACTCCTCCTCACGATCTCCAGTCCCCCCTCTCTCCACCCTCCTCCCCTCCCCCAATCCCAGCCCCACTCGTTGCCTCCCCCAGCCCCAGCCCCAACTCCTCCACGACACCACCGCCGCGGGATTGAATCGGGGTGAATTCTGCAAAATATTAAAAAAATTGGTGGTGTGATGGGCTGTTTTTGTTGCTTCAAGTAAAACATTGAAGCAAATAAACAGAGATTAGCAAATAATGCAAGAGAAATAAGAAAAGGGAAGGCTGTAGCCAACCTTGTGGATAACATCTCTCTTGAATCACGTACGTTCAACAATTTTATTTCCTTGCAATTTTAGAACTTTTTTATTATTCTGAATTATTATGAAATGATAAGAATTGGGTCACTAATATTAAATAGCAGTTCCATTTTCTTGAGATGATTTTTCCTTAAGCCTGATTTATCATATATAATATAAAATATTGTTAGATTTTACCACAATGTAATGTAATCTATAAACTTTATTATTCAACATCTGAAAACAATGCATAATGTATAAGTGTAAGTAAATTAGGGGTCTTCATTGTTCTGCATTTTTAAATAATTTTCAATCAATAATACATACATTATGAAGAAATAAAGTTACAGAATTTTCCAAGTGCAAGGAATTTATTGATTTTTTTTAAGAACCACCTTAGTCTACCTCTCTTTTTCTATTTGTTTCTCTTTGATTAATTGGTGTGCAGAGATGAATTTGGATTGATGAGCAACAATAATGCAAAGGTCGCCTAGATCTCTTCTGCATAGAAGAGCAATTGCATCTGCTACATTAGAGAAGAAATAGAGCTTGGCTAGCAAACGTCTCCTTATTTTTGCATTTTATTTATAATTCTAGTAAGTTTTATGGTTGTGTTGAGCCTGAATTTTGAGAGTAACTTATGTGATTTTATGAACCTTGAATTTTGGGAGTAGATTATGTACATAATTTGGATTTCGTTGGGTTTTTGTATGGGCTAAAGAAAAGAAACATGCCCTTGTGACGTTAGCAACTAGTATGCTGAACTCCTAATGCTCTTATGTTCCTATTTTTCTATTTTTTTTAATTCTGTATATTGTTTGTTATGTAAATTAGATGGAGAAATATATGTGTATATTTTATTCCCTACTTTGTCGAAGTTGCATTCAAGTATGTTGTTCTATGATTTGTAAATAGAAATGCAGTGAAATGTTACAGCTCAGCTTGTCAAATTTACGGCACCAACTGGTTGTTCTAACCAAGTGTTAGAGTTTCTTCTGTGAAAGTTTGTCAATAAATTTTCCTTTGCTTCATACCATTAGAAGAGTTGTCAAGAAAGAGAACCAGATTGTTCAATACAAGCATCTTTCTAATATGATATCAGCAATAAGAAGTTAAGCATGTTTCCATATGATAGTAGCGACAAAAAATCAACTCATGGAAGTTTCTCCTATATTTAATTCAGAGTTTTTTAAGCATTGAAGTTGGAGCTTTGCTTCTCGCCATAGCCTTAAACTAAGGCTTAAACTAGTTCTGAGCGACATGTTTTCCCTATAGCCTCATAGAGGATAGCAATAGATCACACACTTAAACCTTAAAAGGACTAAAAAAGTATTAAAAATATCAAACATTTCCTCATGAACCCCCAAAAAAGATGCAAATGTGCTTTCAACATCCCCCTATTCTCTCCCTCCTCCCCTAAGTTCCTATATGTTTCCTAAATTGCCTTCTTCCAGTTTATCTTTTTTAGCACGTAAACTAAAGATGATTATGTCGCATCCTGTATAATTTTCTATTTGGTTGTGAGGTCACTTCTTTATATTCCTATAATTAGTTATATATTTATTCTACATCAATACAATGTTTTACATGAAACTCTCATTCTTTTTTTTTTTATATAATTTTTGTCTATTCTTCAAATATCCCAATCGTATTTCTGTGTTCTCAATCATGCATTCTCTCGCGCTCTACATGAGTCCAAATACAAGTAATCAAAAGCTATCACATCTAATATGTCTTATCGCCACTTTTTTCGGCCACCGCAACACCGAGCACAAGCACTCAATTCAAAAGATGTTATCTTTTCCCAAATTAGAGAGGGATCGAGAGAGAGGGATTGAGATAGAGAGAGAGAGAGAGAGAGAAAGAGAGAGAGAGAGAGAGAGAGAGAGAGAGAGAGAGAGAGAGAGAGAGAGAGAGGTCGATATGTTACTGATGATCGCAGACGCTACACCAAAAAAGAAGGGGATTAGAGTGCAGTCTTCCAATTAATTTAATACAAGTGAATCCAACAAAATGTAATTAATATTTAATAACTGAAACATTGCAACAGGAAACAAACAGAACAACCATTATTGACGCAATGTTTGTGTTATGGTGATATAATATAAATATCAGTATACTCAAAGAACACTACACAGGAAACTAGAAACCCAAAGAACAAACATTGCAATAGTAATTAAGATTCTCATGATGAAGTAGATTCGGCATCAAAACTTCAACTAGAAACTCTCAGTTTCCTTGTAAACCATTTTTATCTAGTTGTTTCACTGCAATTTCCTGTGAAAAATAAACTAAGTATCGTTTGCTGATATCTGAATTAAACCAGGAAACTAATTAATATAAGAAAGGGGATTACTTGCATTAGTTCAACATATTTGAAAACTCTGGCCTCATTAGTATTCTTGTTTTCTAATCTGTAAAATCTCTTCAACTACTGTCCGATGCTTGGTAGTCACTGGACATGTCAAAAACTTGTTAAATTTTTGGAATTTTCCCCTCTTCAAATCATCAAAATCAATCTACACCTAGAATCCAAAATCAAC